ACAAGTTATACTGTGATTCCCACCTTAAATAAGAGTTTCATGCAAAACAAATGCTGAGTACAAATATAACAACTAATTTTCATAAAACCATTCAGCAAACCACAATACTTAAACCAAACAACCAAAAAACATCATGCATGCAATAAAGGTGGTTAGGTGACGTAGGTGATGGTAAAATATGCATAAAAACATAAAAAAAATAAATATATATAGTAAGGAAAGCAAAAAAAAATGCTTGTAGCGAACTAGAAAAAAGTACAAAAAAAAATACACACATATTGGTAAAAAAGAGGTGCAATGGCATTGAGTGGTTAACGATCAGCAATGACGAGAGAGATGAAGAAACCAAAAGGCAAACTAAATGGGTTTGTGGTTTACGGGTTTACACGTAATGTAGCTTTTTATCATTCATGGTATTAGCCGTTTGGTTTTCCAAAGTTTAAGTATGGGGAATGAACCTTTAAAAATGATTATTTAAAGTGTTTGCTTACAAAAACACCATAAATGATCAATTTATATTTTAATAAAAAGATTATTTAAGACGTTTGTGTATAGAAAACGCCTTAAATAATTTTTATAATGGATTATTTAACGCGTTTTTGAATGAAAAATGCCTTAAATAATCCCTTTAAAAAATATAACAGGATTTTTTAAAGCATTGTCCAACCAAAAAAATCTTAAATAATCTTTTAAAAAAATATTGCAAGATTATTTAAGGCATTTTTGGTTGAAAAATACTTTAAATAAGCCCCTTTTAAAAAGTCGAACATGATTATTTATGGTGTTTTTCAACCAAAGAAGCCTTAAATAATCTTTTTAAAATAATCCCCTTTAAATAAAATGGATTATTTAAGGTATTTTTGGTCGAAAAATGCCTTAAATAATCCTCATATAAAAAATAAAAGGTATTATTTAAGATGTTTTCTAGCTAGAAATGCCTTAAATAATCTCTAATAAAAAAATAGAACAAGATTATTTAAGATATTTCTAGTTGGAAAACGCCTTAAATATTCCTATACCTTTTTTTATATAAGAATTATTTAAGGCATTTTTCAACCAAAAATATCTTAAATAATCGTCAATATTTTTTCATTGATGATATTTTATAAATAAAAACAACAATCAAATAAAATATTTATCTTCTTTTACTATTAAAAGCATCATTTATCGTTTGGATATTTATTATTAATAAAAGCTAATGAAAAGTTGTCAATTAAAGAGATTACGATAATTATTTAGGAATTAATATATGTGAATTCCTCCAAACTAAACAAGTGAATCTGAACACACGAGATGCCCTAAAAATGGAAGAAAACCTCGGGTATCGCATTTCTTGAAGGATCACACTTTCCCAAAAATCCAAAATTCTACGAACCAAATTCCCTATTAAGATTTTTCATATTCTGTATTTTGTTTCTAATGGGATTGTAGTAGCTTTAAGATTTTATATTTTAAAGAAAACTCTTAGTTTGATTTAGATTTAAAATACTAAGAGAAAATGAAAAAAATTAGAGGGAAGTCATGAAGAAATAAGAGAAGAAATGGAAGAATCAAAGGCAAGTTAGAAATTGAAGAAAAAAGATGAGAGACTTAAGGAGTAAAAAAAGAATCAGGAAAGGAAAAAAATATTTTAGGGCTAGGGTTTTAATATGGTAAAAAAGGATTGGATATAATTGAATAAGTGATTATTAAAAATCAATAATATATATTAATTATTTTAAATATTTAATTTTCATCAACTTTTTGATTAGGTCAATTATCATTTACATGTCTGACATATGATCGAATAAACTAATTAAATTGAACTATACATTGAACTTAAAACAAAACAAAAATAATCGAATTGATTTTATCTAATTAAATTGGTTTGAGTTTTTTATTTTGATTATAATCGAAATATGCTCTCCTCCAATAAAGGTCATGGGAACTCTATTCAAATGGAATTTTGGATTTTTATTTTGTTAATTTCCAAACCCTAATCAAAATAAAAAGAATGAATGAAACCATTTTTTAATTTTTTTTGAAAAAAGAATCACATTTTTAGGATTATTTTTAAGTTTTTCCATTTAAAATGATATTCAATCACTAAGGAAGCAATACATGACCATTTTTTCTTTCAAATGTGGTGCATGTAAGACACGTATAATTTTTCATCTAAAATATATTTTTAATTGTAAATTTTCAATAACATTTAATTTTAATTTGTACAAAATGATATGTTTAATCTCGAAATGAGTCGCATTTTAAAAATTTAATCATAAATTAAATATTTAACCTTTATTAAAGAGGTTGTGCTATGCTTATGTAAACATAAGCATGTACCATACGTACATCCATGCATAATGCATGTATTGAAGATTAGTTGAACTTATTATCATTATATATTTTTGGTTTTTAAAATTGCATTGAAATTAGCTATTCCAATTTAAAAATTGATATTACTAATCTACTCCACTGCTCATTCGATGCAATTTTGGTATGAATTCAAGGCAAAGATGAAAATTACAAACAAAATGGACCATTTTTCCTTGTACAAAATTCCACTAAAAAAAAGAATTGCTAGTATTATATTATCCAATAGTTTTTTATTTTCATGATTTCTCAATCTCATAAATAATATTGGTTTGATTTTTTTATAATTAAAATTTTTTAATTTTAATAATTGATATTTTAAATGTTTTATCAAACTGACTTAAAAAAACATATTTAAAAACCCCAAGGTTTTTTTAAAAAAATTAAAATATATTTAAAATTAAATTAAAAACGTTTGACCATCAAAAGTCAAATTTAAGAAGCTAAAACTGACAATGCTTGATTGGGTTGAATTCATAAATTCAAACGAATACTTTCTTTTTTTTTTTTTTTTAATGTTTAAGCCTACTCTATTGTATTGAATTATACATAAAAAGTTTAGATCTGACGAACTCGGTTACCCACGTCGCTCAACTATAATTCATAATAAATAAATAAATATTGTTTTAAATGCTTTAAAAAGGTAAATCTGATATTTTTATAAAAATTTATAAACACCAATTATTTCAAAACTCGTACACCCATACCCATCGTACATTTCAAAAGAGATTTGCACAAGCTCTTGACTTTGGATTGATTTTACTGATTGTGTTTTTGTTTAATTTAATAATTCAAGCATAATCGTCCTTTTCTTTTTCTTTTTTTTTCCTTTACACGTTAGTAATTTCCATGGGATAACAAACTTTTTTTAATAAACAAATGCTAAAATTTTAAATATATATATATATATATACCCAAAAATAAAAAGAAAATGAAGTAAAAGGAAAGAAAGGCCAAAGCTGAAACCACACATCACCATCTTATCGAGGTTGTTGGAATGCTGAAATATAATGAAAGGAATCTCAAACGACAAAAATCCAAAGTCTCCCCAACTTTGTAAGTTTTGACAAACTCAAACTTACTATTTCATTATATCTTCAGTTATCATTGAAACGAATCTTGCAGTTTTCAAAGTTTTTCAAGTACAACTAAATGACTTTCAGACTTACTGTTTGAAGATGTTGTAGCCCACGAAAGCGACAACGAAAATAACAACTTATTTTTATTCGTATGAGTGAAAACAACCTATTCAAAATTATAATATTTGATGTACTTCGAATTTCGATTCAAATTAATTTTAAATATTAAATATATTTATTAAATTTGAGTAAAATTTTAAATTGAAATATAAAATATAATTAAATTAAATTAAATCAAATTATAAATTTTTATAAAATAAAATTAATTATTTTATAATAAATTTATTTAAATATATTAAAAATCTTATTAAAATAATATATAAAAATAAAAAATTAAACATTAAAAACCAATAAATCAAATTAAATTAGTAAAATTTATTTCGTATCAAATTGATTTAAAAATAAAATCAATTCAAATTTAAATTAAATTTTTAAAATTTTATAATACTATATATTATTTTTTAAAAAACTGAATGGTTTGACAACGACAAACAATTTTACCTTTTAACGCTCAAGCAAAGTCCAAAGTGTAAAAAGCATATATTGATTCAAATTTTCTTATATTCATATTGCTCGGACAAAATCTAATTAAGAGACCAGTCCCTCCCCCACCAGGTCTATTCCAGTGACCAAGTCTATCTACGCAAGTAAAGTGTCCCACATGATGAAGGAAGAAGCCACTGAGAAATCAGTAATCATCAATCAAAGAGTGGGCCAAAAGGGTTTTTTTGACAAAGACCAAAACACACAACAGGATCAGAAATCTAGACCAGTTATCGCTTTTCTCCGGTGTTTGTTAAGGCAAGAACCTGTTCAAGGTTTCAAAGGCGTTGTTCATAAAAAGAGTAATAAGGTCACTACCATAGTCACCAAACAACAATCATACGAAACTTGTCTGATTCTTTTCCAATCTTCAAGCTCAGCAAATCTTGTCACGCCTCACACCAAATAATTTTACTAAACACCAAGAATTACACCGTTCAAATAGCATTTCCAAACCAACTTCAGGCAACAAAACCATCCAATTAACATGAATAATGAATTAAATACTTAATTCAATTGATCTATGTAGACATTTTTAAACATCTTAAAGAGATGAAATTTAATAAATTTAAAATTCAAATCTCAATACTTACAACTTTTTTTGTTTTTTCCAAAGCTTTCTAAAAGGGAAAACCATAAGTGATAAACCCGTATTAACAAATTTTCAAACAATAAAAGGGGTTACTATTTACATTACATTTTGGACTTGCTATTAAAGTCTAAAACTTGGAAAATTGTCAAACTCAAATTTCACCATTTTGACTCATTTGAAACTTGTAGCTTGTTTTATAGTAATTTCATGGTACTGTTAAGTCTTTACTTCAAAATAGCCTAGTTGAATAGTATAGAAAATATTAGGCAAGAAAACACATGGCATAATAATTAGTAAGCATTACATTCAACATTCAAGCACACTAATAGAACAAAAAACAATCTCGACACATTTATAAAACACAACAAAGAGACTAACAGAGATCATCATTAGCACTAATCATCCTCTACAACAACTTTAAACCAAAGAAAAAGAAAAATTTCAAAGCCTCAACCACAACAACAACAACATTAAACTCTACAAGAACACTTAAAACACACATAATTATCATACTAACAAACACCGTCCAAATTCTACAAACAGAAACTACAAGTAAAACAGTGAGCACCACTACAAGTTACAACCATTAAAAATCCTAGTTAATGTTCAACACTCACTTCAGTCAATGCCGAAGCCTTCACCTTAGGAGGACGTCCCCTAGGCCTTACCGTGGCCGCCGTCATAGTTGTGGAACTCCCACCTATTCCCCCTTCCGGCCGCGCCATCTTCCTTGGCCTTCCGCGGGGTTTCCCTGTCCCAGAAGTCACCTTAGGCTTGGGGGACCTAGGGGGAGCATTGGGGTCCTTAGGAGGGCGGCCTCTAGGCCTTGCAGGGCTTAAAAGCACACCCGGTGGCAATGGAACCTTGGGTTTTGGAGGCCTACCACGGCCACGCCTAGGTGGGCCATTGGGGTCAGCTTTCATGTAATTGTTTTTGCAAAAAACAAGCTCTCCAGTTTCTTTCATTCTATTAAGATGGTGAGAAAGTAGGGTGGTATGACCAGCAGGCAAATCTCCATACTTGGACTCAATGTATTTGGATATTGAAGTCTTGTTTGAACCATTCTTGTCGTTCAATGCTTCAATGGCATTAATAATCAGCTGCATGTTGAAAATATAGATGAATTTTTTAGATTTCATGCAATTTTAAGCTAGAAAGCTCCAATTTTATGTTTAAAAGTTGAAAAATTAAGAGAATCAAGAAAATAAAATGAAAAGAAAGAACAAAATGAGAAACTTAAAAGGAAATTCAATGAAAATATAAGTTTTTCTGGCAATTCTGAAAGAAAAAACCATTTTTTTTTAAAAAATAAAAATTTTACCACAAGAAATGAAAAAAAAAATCAGTGACAAATGAAGAAATTTATGCAAAGAACTCAATTGTAGATGAGATTTTTTTTTTTTGGAAATGACAGTTTTAAACAAAAAAAGTCTTTTTTAATTGCCATCTTGAATCAGTAAACAAATAAAGATCAAATTAGATCAAACTCTACCAAATTTGAGGTTGAATGAAAATGGGTTTCTTTTAAATTCTATGAAAAATGTAAAACTCTCTCCAAAACTAAAAAAAAAAATGCAACTATAAAACAAAATTAAAAGATCAAATTTTGATCATGGTTAAAAGTAAAAAAAGAAAAAAATTGTGAGGGAGAGTAGATGTACCTGTGGGTAAGAAGGAAGTGGAGGAGGTTTATTGACCTCTTCAGTAGCCATTAATTTTGCACACATACAAAATAGGACAAAATTTCAAAGAAAGAAGGTAAAAAATAGGGGAAAAAAAGTGATAATTCCTTCAACAAAGCTTTAAACTTAAAAGGACAGTCCCCACAAAACCTCTCTCTGTTCTTTGGTTTTCAATTTTTTTTCACAGAGAAACCAAAAACCCAAAGCCAAAACAGCTTAAGCTACTGTTTGATGATCAGTTCCAAAAAAAAATAAAAATTTTAATTGTTTATTTTGGGACTGTGACGATCAGACGGTTTAGACAATGGATTCACTTGGATTTATGACTCGGCGTTATAAAATATTGGGGGATGGGGTTTTTGGGAAATTTCTGGGCTTTCCCCATTTTCCAAGCTGTCTAATATTTTACCTATAAAATATAAATAAACAAATTGCTTTGGGAAAAAGAAAAATGTGGTCCCACATTTGAACGAATCTATGAATTAAAAATATTTAAAATATGCATTATTATGAGTTAATGTCAGTTTTTTTTTAATTACTAAAAACTTTTTGCATTTTGAAGCTTTGTAGCATAACTTTTTTATTTTTTAATTTCATTCTTTTTAACATCCTATAGGTAAAAAAATGTTGATGGAGGATTGCTACCTTGTTTCTTTTATTTTTCTCAAAATTTTTTGTTGATTTTTTAATGATTTTAATATAAAGAAAAAGTGTTGAATTTTTTTTATAATATTGTAAGGGTATTTTCATAATATTGTTCTGAGTTTAAATTTTTTCAAAGATTTTAAATACGAGTTCTTTCACATATATTATTTTCTTTTTTAATACAAATTCATATTTTATAAATAATTTGAATATTTTATGTTGTCACTTATACGTTTGATATAGGTAAATTAATAATTATGAGTGATTTGTCATCTATTAAAATGTATGATGTTAAAATGTAATTTATAACCTCCATAGAAATTAATAACAACATGATTAAAACATGATTTAAATAAAAAAATAAATAAAGCATGAGTTTATCATAATTAAAACAAAATGTAAATAAAGCATGAATATAAATAAAGAACTTGGATTAAAGAGTGTAAACATCTAATTTTATTTAGACATATTTTAATCAATTATGATATTTTAAAAATCAAGACCTACATATTATTCAAAATTTTAAATAAGTTGATTCTTAGAAAGATGGAAACAAAATAGTAAAAATCAAATGAAAAAGTCAAAATTCAACTTAAAATTTTATTTAGTCCAAGTTGTTAGAAATTGATGGACTTTTGTCAAAATAAGGTCAAACTTAAGATATTTTGAAAGAATCAAATCAATACATTGGGTTTTTGAAAATAAATTTTGAATTTTGAATGAAAATAGGCAAAACATCAAAATACCCTTGAAGTGAGATAGGGTCAAAGTTTGTTAAAATTGATCAGAATCATTTTATTTGGTCAAATTTTTTCGAAGCCTAATGTTTAATTTAAAATATTGAATTTAATATTTTAAAAATAATATTTTTTAAATTTAATAAATTCTAATTTTAGTTTTTAGAAAAATTCAATATTTTCAATTTTTTTAAAAAATTTCTACATTTTTTTAAAAAATTAAATTTTAAAATTTCATTTTTTGAAATTTTTTGTATTTTTTCAAAATTTAGTGGGTTATCCCCATTTTCCAAGTTGTCTAATATTTTAATTATAAAATATAAATAAACAAATTGCTTTGGAAAAAAAAAGTGTGGTCCCACATTTAAAAGAATATATGAATTCAAAATATTTAAAATATGCATGCATTACTCTATGTTTATGTCAGTTTTTTTATTACTAATAACTTTTTTGCATTTTGAAGCCTTGAAGCATAACCTTTTTATTTTATTTCATTCTTTTAATATCATACGGGCAAAAATGTGGACGGAAGATTGCTACTTTGTTTCTTTTTCTTTTCTAAATATTTTTTTTTGTTGATTTTTTCAAGACTTTAATATGAAGAAAAAAATGTTGAATTTTTTTTTAATATTGTATGAGTATTTTTATAATATTTTTTTGTTTAATTTATTAGGATGATTTTAAGAACATATTCTTTCGCATTATATCATCTTGTTACCTAATACAGACACATAATTTTATAAACAATTTGAATATTGAATATTCTCTGTTATTATTCATATATTTAAAAAGATACAAATGAATTAACAATCTTAGATAATTTATTGATTATTAAAATATATGGTGCTAAAATACAATTTATAACCTCCATAGAAATTAATAACAACATAATTAAAACTTGCTTTAGATAAAAATATAAGAAATTATTTAATATACTGATAGTAGAGTTTTTTAATTTCACAAACGGAATTAAAATGATAATACATGTCCCTTTTTTTTTTAAATTAATTGTTTTAAATATAAAAATGACATATGTCATCATTTTAATCCCGTTTATAAAATTAAAAATTTTTACTATCAGTATATTTGATAAATTCTTTAAAAATATGAATAAAACGTGAATTTAACATAATTAAAACAAAATGTAAAAAAAGGATGAATATAAATAAAGAACTTGGAATAAAGAGAATACTTTAGATAAAAATATAAATAAAATGTGAATTTAACATGATTAAAACAAAATGTAAATAAAGTATCAATATAAATAAAGAACTTGGATTAAAGAGAATAAAGTAAATCTACTCTATGCAATCCTAAATATGAAATAAAAAAAAATGAAATATCTTTAATGATCTACATAATGATGGGTATAAAGATCTCTTACACTATAGCCTACGTGATATGTTATAATTATGTACAAATGCTTCTACTTGCATTTGTGGCCAAATGCATATTTCTATCACACCAAAAGCATAACTCTTTCGATCGTTTCTCATCAAATTCAGTACCAGTTCGAATCTTGGTAGGTTTGTCAGGTTGCTGATTTTTATGTTTGGAAATTGATATTTGCCGGCAAGGATTGATTTCTTTGTATCATCTTGGTGGATGATTTAACTTATAAAATATGCTTATTTAGATTTATTCAAATGTTTGAAGGAATCTTATTTAAAAAATTATGATAATTAGATTTTATTAATGAAAATTTTAGTGGGTGGAATATAATGAAATAAAAATTTCATGTAATAAAAGATAGCGAATTTATTTATATTTTTGAGCAAAATTTAAGTATTTATTTAAAATATTATTCTTTAATTTTATTTTAAAACTCATCCTATGTGTAATTACTCAAATCTAAGATGACTCGTATCTAAAATAATCTATCTTTTTTGGTTGCAAAAGAGGGCTAGTGCTCTTACAAAAGGGGAGAGGAGATGATGGAGTAGAACCTACACCTTACATAATTTTTAACTGGCCTCTCAACCACTAAGCTAAGAGGGGAAAGTCAAAATAATAATCTAACTATCACTCGACCAAACCCGCTTGAATGTTGTCTCAACTCTCAAGTCTCAACCAAGTTGATAGTAATTGATACTAGAGATGTTTGATGGGATAAGTTTGAATTGAGCCTTGTTGAGCTAGTTGAGGAGTTCCAGCCACAAGCCTGAGTTACTTAGCAAAGCTGGAGGACTCTGATTTATCCAGTAGGATATCAGTTACTTGACCCATTGCAAAACAATCTGATAAGCATTGGTTTATTTTAGTTAAACATCATATTTCACAATCATTGAAAAGGACCATGATTCTGCTCAAGATGCCTTTCTGTTACTTGTGTCATGACAAAAGACTGCATTTTTCATTCAGACACACACATAAAACAAAAAAGAAAAAAATTCACTCCCCTTGTTGTTTTGAAAAGGAATTCCGCTGAGTTTCATCTTGTTGGCAGTTACATGTTTGTTATTGGTTAAATTACGCAAGGGGCCTTTGTATTTTGTCAAAAGTAGAAAATAAGTTTCTCTATTATAATTCATATAAAATTAATTTTTATATTATTTTGATTTAATAATTTTAATTTAATTATTAATTCTATCAATTTTTATCATTAAAAATATTAATATGACCATTAACTTGTTGACGTAGGCGTTTTCTTTGTTGATGTAATATTGATTTTGTTGATATATCACCTTGAATGATGAAATTAGTTATCAAATTATGCAAACAATTCGTGTGCATACATGAAATTTAAATTTTAATCCCTTCAATATAATTTTATAAAAAATATGTCTTTGTACAAGTTAAATTTGATAATATTAATTTAATTATTAATAAAAATCATATTTTTTACTTTTTAAAAAATCAATATTTTGAAATTTTAGAATCCTTTTTCATATTTTTTAAATATTAAATTTAAAATTTTTAAAATAATATTTTTTTAATTTATAAAATCTGGTTTTATTTCTTAAAAATTCAATATTTTAAGAAAATTCATAGATTTTTTAAAAATATTAAATATTAAATATTTTAATAATTTAAAATTTAATTCTTAGAAAGTTTTTGTTTTTGTTTTTTTAAATTTTAACATTTTATTTGAACAAAATATTTAATTTTAATCTTTAAAAAATTTTGGAATCTCTATAAAATTTTCTACATTTTTTTATTTTATGTTTTTCTATAAAATTTTTATATTTTTTATATATTTTTTTTGTTTTAGACAGAGTTTATAAATTTTAAAAAATTTTTACACGTTTTTATGTTATTCAATGAAAAATAAATTGAAATCAAAAACTTTTTGTGCTTCGTTGTTATTTTATTTTACCTTATATTTTTATGCTCTTTCACTTCAATTATATTAAAATAGAACAAATTCTAAGAACTTCTGTTCTCTTTATAATTTATTTATTTATTTATTCATTTAAATATTAAAAAATACAAAAAGTTAAAAGGTATAGAAAATTTTATAAAAATTCTAAAAAATTAAAAAATTAAATATTTGATAAAATAAAATGCTAAAATTTAAAAATAGAAAAAATTTCAAAAAATGAATTTTATTTTAAAAATTAAAATATTTGAAAAAAGTAAATTTAATATTTTTAAAAATCTAGAAAATTTTTAAAAAAATCAAAATATTATTTATTTTTAAAAAGCAAAATCCAATTCCAAAAGAATTCAAAAAATATAATTTTTTAAAAAATTATGATATTTAAAAAATATTAAATTTAATAATTTAAAAATATGGAAATGTTTTAAAATTTTTGAGATATTGATTTAAAAAAAAAAATTAAAATCTGACTTTAAAAAGAAATAATAAAAAT